TGAAAACTAGAACTTTGGTCTGATAGAGTTTGTACAGCCCACTGTGAAATCAGAAGAATCTGTAGTATGCTTAACTTGGCCAGACTAAGAAGTATCTCATAAAGAACTTGCTGCATACTTGACATGCTGAAACATCAAAACCAGCTGCAGCCTAGGACTGATGGGTCTGGGTACAGACCAGATAATTTGCTGTACTACGCTGAACATAACCCGAAGTATTTCTTCTTTTTCAAGAGCACTGCCCCAAACCTGAAAAGTTTTCTGTGAAATGGATGAAGTTTTGCTATGAGGTCAAACCGCGGCTGAAATTAAAACACTTCCTCTGCCCATTTACGAGGCACAACCAGCGTGAGGAAAGAGGAAAGTTGTAGAAAAGAGCCACCCAGCATTTCTCACGTCCATCCTCTGCACAAACCCCAGTGTAAGTGCGGTGTTCCTTCTGTAGTTTGTTTGTTTTCACCTGGCCTTGAACAATTGACTTCAGCAGATGAAGAACAGCGTGTCTGGCTTCAGCGGGGCGCTCTGGCTGGAGCATATCAGCTACCACTTTCCATATGGCTTCCACTGCATGCTGCAAGCAAACACAGGACACAGGCAGCAGTAGGAAGGTTAGGCTTCTTCTGGGATCTTTACCCAGTAGGTCAGTCATTAATTACGGCAAGTTATGAACAAGATCTTCAGGGATTTCATGTCTGGAGTTGTCTTTTCTGAGGGACACTCTCACCTGATGAACCACAAGAGACACCAAATCCCATCCTACACGACAACTTGCACCCCTGTAACGGAAGTTCTTCATCCACACACTTACTTCAGTGTAAGCATTGGTGCAGAAACCTCCACCCCAACACAAGATGAGTTCAAAACCAATTTGAAGCCGCTTATTAACAAGAGAGAAGGAAGTAGCAAACACCTCTGAACATCATCTCCCCTGAACCATCCTGAACAGGCCTGAACATCCACAGCACTGAGCTCAGGAAGCCCATCAGCTGTGTCCTCTCTGCTCCACAGCTGATAGGCTGGACAGCACTAACGTCCTTTTGTAGGTCTGGGCAGCACAAAACAGCTTGTGGGATTATCAGTTTTAAAAGCCACTTGAAACTCCAGGTGCCTCTCATGATAGGTTTCGAGCATCATCCTTGCATTATTCACTGACCACTGCAGAAACTTACCTCCTCAATCTTTTTGGTTTTCACCACTTCACAGATCTGGCTGATTGCTCGGATCCTATTGCTCAATCCACATTCTATGCTCAGTTCCTGGAAAGAAATGTAGACACAAGCTAACAGTTTATCTGGCTAAAACACTTATCTATTCCTCAAAGGGGCTCACGAACCACAGAAAAATGAATTACACGTTTGTGCAAAATGACCTGAGCATTAGTCATCACTGGAGTTTTGCAGGAATTTCTCCAAACCCTTTTTTTCCATTAGCAAATGATCCGTCAAAACCAGACCTTTCACGGAACTGGAGCCAAGCAGCTTTGAACTGCCAAGAGAGAACATCTCCTTTTCCTCAGGAAAGCTGGTAACTCACTGGCTGCTGTGCTCACTCAGTTCATGGGAGAAGGGCAGAGAAAGGAGGGACATGAGGTCCAGCTCCCCAGCCTTTAAGGCTTTCATAAACCACAAACCATTTCCAGCTCACGCTAACTGCCACCACACAAACTCAGTCTATGGGAAGAGCAATGTATGCAGAGGAAACACCCTGTGAGCTGACAAAAGACACCACCACCCCATCAAACACCTCAGAAGGATCCAAACGCTGCATAACTAAAACACCGTAACTTCAAAGTAGACGAGTTTTACATCCATTTCACTAGGGAATGAATGGAGAGGTAAAGGGGAAAAGGCACGCTCAGAGAGGGAATGAATGTCAAAGCCAGACAGGAGAATGAGCAAGCCCTCGCTGAGATCCTCCCAGCGCAGGTAATCCAGGCACTATCCCCCCCTTTCCTATGGTCAGTTCTCATACCTTGAGTATTTCCGCAGTGATGATGAACTCTGTTTGCTTGCCCTCCGACAGCTTGGAACTTCCCCGGGATGTTCCCAGCCCCAGGAGATTCTTGAACTTCTCCTTCAGTCCAGAATCCTTGCTCTGAGGCTTTGCCATCGCTGCCAAGGAAGCAGCGCCGGGCCCCTGCAAACACAGAACAGGGATTTGGTGAAAGGGAATCTTTGAGCAGGAAAACACCAACACCAGCCGTCACAGTGTGGCTTTTACTGATCGATCGCTCTAGTGTCTCAAGCCACTTCAAACAAGGATGAAGGCCAACGCTGAGATGCTGTAAGTAGCCAGATGTGATTCATTATGGAATCCCAGACTGATCTCACCCAGCTCCAACCCCTGCCACGGGCAGGGACACCTTCCACTGGAGCAGCTTGCTCCAAGCCCCTGCGTCCAACCTGGCCTTGAGCACTGCCAGGGATGGGGCAGCCACAGCTTCTCTGGGCACCCTGTGCCAGCGCCTCAGCACCCTCACAGGGAAGAGCTTCTGCCTAAGAGCTCATCTCAGTCTCCCCTCTGGCAGGTTAAAGCCATTCCCCCTGGCCTGTTCCTACAGGCCCTTGTCCCACGCCCCTCTCCAGCTTTCCTGCAGCCCCTTTAGGCACTGTAAGGACAACAAATCTGAGCGTTCAAACACCCAAATGCCGCCACGGCAAGGAGAAAGAGGGGAGCAAGCAGCAGCACCCCCATTACAGCACATCCCCAGCAGCAGCACTTCAGGAACCATCTCCCCAGCCAGCCCCAGCCCTCTGCCCCTCGGGGACCGCAGAGCCCACCCCAAAGGAGGACACCCGCTCCTCTCATAGAGCACAGCCCCAGCCCCCCGATCCTGGCAGCTGTGCCCCCACACACACCGCAGGCATCACCTGTGCTCCGCAGGGACACACCACAGGCCTTGTCCCGCATGCTGGGGACACGCCACGGCCCAGCTGCACCAGGGACACACCGCAGCCCCTAACGCAGCCCCGGGCACGGCACCGCGTCCCCCGTGTCCCCCGCCACGCACCGCCGGGACATGCCACAGCCCCTCACGGACACACCACGGGGGACACACCGCAGCCCCCCCCCCCCCCCCCGGCCCCTTACCAGGGGACACCGGGGCACGGCGCCGGCCGGGGGCAGCCCCGCACAGCCCCGGAGCACGGCAAGGCCCCGCCTCCCGCTAGGCCCTGCCAGGCCCCGGTGCCCCCCGGCCCGCACAGCGCAGACCACGGGGCCTCCACCCGTTCGCTCCCCCCCGGCCCGGCCCTCATTCACTCACTCACCCGCAGACCCCGGCCCGGCCCCGCCGCCCGCGGCCCAGCTCCGCACCCCGCCCCCGGCGGAAGTCCCGCCGCTTCCGGTCTCCGCGCCCGCCGCGGGGCCCGCCGGGGCCGGTAGTACCCGGTCGTGCCCGGGGCAGCCGCCATGTGCGCGGCCGGGGCCGCCGGTGGTGGCCGGGCTGCGGCCCGACGGCTCGGCAGGGCCGGGGAGGCGGCCGGAGGTACCGGGGGGGGTGATCGGGGTTGTGCGCGGCCCCGGCCCGGCCTTGCCACGGGGCAGGGGACCCGGGGACAGGGACACGGGTGGTCGGGACGTGGCCGTCCGGACCCAGGGGTGAGCCTGGTCCCCCGCGGTCTGTGTGTGGGACCCGTGCCCCGCACAGTGCCGTGTCCCCAGCTTGTCGCTGCATCGCCCCTGCCGGCTGGCTCGGGTTGGGGCTGCTGGGCTGGGGCTGTGGGGACAGGAGCTGAGCCTTCGTCAGGGTGTCCCCTGCGTGGCTGTGGGCACACGGGGTCGATGCTGGGCTCCGGTGGGTGATGAAGATGCCTTTCCCTTGCCCCATCCCTTGCAGCCACGCAGCCAGGCAGCATCCCGAGGCGCAGCAGCAGGAGGAGGAGGAGCGTCCCCATTGCCTATGAATGCGGTGACGAACAGGGGGTGTCTGAGCCCCAGAGACCGCGCTGGGAGCCCAAGGACTGGCGGCAGCAGCTGGAGCGCATCCGGGAGATGAGGAGGAGCAGGGATGCTCCCGTCGATGAGATGGGCGTGCAGATGTGTTACGATAGCAGCGCGCCTCCGCAGGTAACGGCGCCCTGCTCCGGCAGGCAGGCGGGCACGTGGGATGCAGCCCTGCAACATCCTGCATCCTCACGGTGCCCCTGCCTATGTCCCCATTTGGATGTCTCCAGAGCAGGACAATCAATGCAGGGAGTATTTGGACTCGAGACTGGGATTGGCCCCACAAGAGGTTAACCTACAAATATGTATGTGAGAGGAACTATTCATCCTGTTAGAGGAGGAAAATCAGCCACTGCCTCTCCAGTATTGGGCTCGTTGGCTTCCAACAGCCCTTGTGAAATAGCAGTGGGTGTTTGCTGAGCTGTTCTCTGCTCACATTCAGCCCATGCTGGACATCAGGGACCAAGCAGCAAACGCAGCTGTGCAAGGTCCTTGTCCTCTGCTGAAACCGCTGCTGGGAGAGCTGGCAGGCTGAACCCGGAGTGGGAACTGGGGCAGAAACCAGGATGATATTGGGGTTGGGAATGAAAACCTGGAGAGCGTGTTGGGGCAGTGCTGTCCGCTGGGGCAGGCTGGCAGCGCATGAGGGCACGGCCCTTTTTATCTCTATGAGAATCCAGGGAAACTATGCAACAAGCCGCCTCTGGAATACAAAGGAAAAACACTATGGAGATAAGAGCAGCACATAAGCATAGGCTGGCTTCCTCCCCTTTTGCAGTTAAGGGGATGGATGCAGGTTGAAAGGAAGGGCCGTGCTGGGACGACACAGTGCTTCCCAAGCCTGGAACACAATCAAAGGCCCCAGAGGACACTTCCAACCAAGGGGAGTTTGCATCAGTACAGAAGCCAAAGTGGAGTGAGGCTGTGGTGCGGTGCTGGGATGTGGGGCTGTGCATGGAACAGAGCAACGGGAATGCTATGTGCTCCACAGCGACCTGCTGGGCAATGAGGGAGGGGTCTGGAAGATGCAGCTGCACAGCTTCAGGACATGCAGCACTCTCCTTGTTGCTGGCGTCGTGCCTTGGGATTGGATCCCTGGGGAAAACGATTGGCTCTGCCTCTGGATTCAGGCAGTGTCACACGCTCCACAGCAATGTGGATTGGCACCAAGTGCAGCTGCGGGGCCAGGGGGACCACGGTGCATGATACGGAAATAACTTCTCTTCCCTAGGGAAGCAGGATTGTTGCTTCCAAGAAAAAGTGGATGTTGTAACCCTCGGCACACAGCAGTGCTCCTGGCACAATTCCATGCACTCGGAGATTAGCCTGCTTCCATCCACTCAGGTTTTTCCTAAGGCATCTGCAGTTTTGGAAGCTTTAGGAGCTAGAGGAAGGATTGTATCCCATGTTATCCTGGGTCAGGCCAGGTTAGTTGCATCCTCCTCATTCTGGTGGAAAATCAGTTAACAGCAGGAGGTGAATGATCTGAACTAAACCCTGTGTGTCAGCACCAGAGGAGCTTTGGGGTTTATGCCTCATCTCCCAGCCTCTCTCATCCCAGTTCTTTAGATTTGGTTTCATAAGGAGCTCACTAGAGCCAGATGCCCAATTCCTACTGAAGCCTAGAGGGAAGGGGATGGGATTTTCAAAAGCTGCTTAGAGCAGAAGTTGCATGGAAAATCACTGGGTCTTTGTACTTCTACATCCTGTGGGGTCTCCTGAGAATCCCATCATGAGGAAAAGCTTTGGCCCTTTGTGGCTAAGCACTGGTGTCTTTGGATGTGAGATCCCAGCAGACAGTAGCTGCCCTTCTACCCACACTGTCTGCTTGGACTGAAGGTGTTTCTTATCTCCGTTTCTTGTGTGGTAGCATTAAAAGGTGATGGATTATTTCTGTTGCAGCCTCTTGCAGACCGATATGGCTGATCCTGGGTAGGTTCATATAATGCACCGGCTTGAAGATGGTGCTGGATGGAAGAACCAAGCCCCAGAGGTGGCTGGGTCCTTTTGGGGTGTCTCACTGCCTCCTTGTCCCCAGGTCATGCGCTACCAAGTGCTGCTGTCACTGATGCTGTCCAGCCAGACCAAGGACCAGGTGACGTGGGCTGCCATGCTGCGCCTCCGGCAGCGCGGCCTCACCGTCGACAGCATTTTGCAGATGGATGACGCCACGCTTGGACAGATCATTTATCCCGTGGGATTCTGGAGGGTGAGTGCCTATAGAAGAACCCCTCCACTGCCCCCTGCTCCCATGCAGTTGTCTGAGGTGGCTCAGAGGCCCTGGAGGGGAGCTCAGTTGGCTGCAGGATTGTCCTCGTGGCAGGGGATGGTGAAGGAGAAAGCAAAGACCTCTGTCTCCCTTCCACGGACTCCAGTGTGTGGCCTCACACGTAACGTACATTCAGGAATGGTTTGGTTTCTGAGCTGTTTGCCTCTTCTCCCCCTGTTTGAAGGCACAAATACAACAGGATTCTCTGCCTTTCCCCTTGCTTTTCCAGAACAAGGTGAAGTACATAAAGCAGACGACAGCTATCCTCAAGCAGAAGTACGGCGGAGACATCCCAAGAACCGTGGAGGAGCTGGTGCAGCTGCCAGGAGTTGGGCCCAAGATGGCTTACTTGGCCATGAACATTGCCTGGGACAGCGTGTCTGGGATAGGTAGGTGTGACCATGTTTTTCCCATTCATTTCCTACATCCTGCCTCTCCTAAGTCCTCCTATATTCCCCACGCAGAAGGGAAGCATCGCAGCTGGGTAAACTGCCTGCCTCAGGAGCCCGATAGCATCGCTTTAGTCATCTGCAGAGTATTTGGGTGGGTGAAGGATGTGACCCTCAGCCACTCACACTGGATGTGTTGCTGTAGGACTTAAGCATGGATCCAGCTACTATTTTGCCCAAATTTGATAGCAGAAATCCAGAAGTGCAGCTGTTCCCTCCCTCCTTCAGATGCTGGTGGGCTGTACAAGCATTGCCTAATTGGGTTGGCATCCAGAAAGATGTGCTAGCAGAGTAATGCTTTGATATCTCTTTGGTGTCAAGTCAAAGAGAGGTGGAGGGAACTGTGGGATTTGGGGATAGCTGTAGGATAGTCTGAAGCTGTTTGTTAACGGGGTTGCTTCTGTTTGAACAAATCTCATTGGGCTTTCTGTTTGACAAGTTATTGGAGGGCAGAAGCAGGGCTTAGTCAAAATTGCCATTAGAAATCAGTCATTCATGATGGAGTGTAGGAAGAAATGGTCTCAGGCAATCTGTAGCTAGGGAATTTCTGGTCTGGTTTAGTTCCTGCAGCTGCCTAAGAGGTGACCACAGGTCCATGTGTTTATTTGCCATGTTTATTGTGCACGGAGCATAGAAGAGCACAGAGCTGTGCCCCTGGAGCCCTCTGCTTTAGCTGGGAGGAAGATGACCTTTGAAGGTCCCTTCCAACCCAAACTGTTCTCTGATTCTAAGCCTGTGGTGGAGCGAGCCCACGCTAGACCCAGGACAGGTTTGCTCCTGTATGATACTGCTTTATGGAGCATGGCTGGCAGCAGAGCTCCCGCAGCAGCCAGCAGATGGGGCTGGATGCTCAGCTGCACGGTCCCAGCCTGGGGACCTCTGGGGACACAGTGATATTCCAAGTGCAGTTGCTGCTTATGGAGGAGCTCTAGGAATGGTGCCACCTGATGAATGCCTGCTGCTGCTGCGAGCACACAGCCCAAGGCTCATTCCTGCAGCCGCACTGCTGCCCATCAGCTGTACCAAGCATGGCTGTAGATTCAGACTGGGGTCTGATGTTCTCTCCCTGCTGTGGGGGAGGGAGGTCAGGAGGGAGCCAAACAGAGCGACTGTTTTCCAAATAATGGTGTGCTCAGTTTTGATTTAGGAGGCAAGACTTTGTCTTCCTGTTTACAGCCGTTTCCTGGGGTTTGCCCAATTAGCCACAGAGACAGGTTTATCGCTGCTGATCTAACAATAATATACTTTGCATTCAGGGCTTTTTAGCTCAAAGCACTTTCTAAACATTTGTTTAAGCCTCACAAACCCTCTTGTGTCGGTAGGTATTATGAAATGTGTTTTCCATCTGGGTAAACTAAAGGGCAGAGATTGCAGCTTGTGTAACATCAGCTGAAACACAGGGAGGAAGAGAACCCGGGACAGGCTGCCCTGTGCCTGCTCGATCGGAGCAAGCAAACCTTTGAAGGAAGGTTGGATCAGATTGAGTGTGTCACTGGTGTGTGGTAGGAGATACCCATCCCACCTTGCTTTTGGCCCTGGGCCTAGGAAGAAAGCAGCACATTTGCTCTGTGAATAAGCCTCCCCTCCTGTTCCACCCGACCCATGAGGGATCCCATGCAGGGCACTGGACCTGGTGTGCTGTGACTGCAGCTTTTGGCTGTGCTCTCTGTTCTGGTGTCTCTGCCCCCACCTAAACTCTGGGCTCTCCCTTCCTTAGCTGTGGACACCCACGTGCACAGGATCTCAAACAGGCTGAAGTGGGTGAAGAAGGAGACCAAATACCCTGAGGATACTCGGGTGGCACTGGAGGAATGGCTGCCCAGGTGAGCCTCCTTCCTCCACCACCACCACCAAGCCTCTCGCTGGCTGCAGGAGCCAGGTCTGCACACAGTCCTGTTTGTAGCCTTTCCAGTGACTGCATTTCAGGTCCCTCCTCTTTATGGGGTCTGCTCTGCAGTTGTTTCTCCTCTCCCAAAGAGCTGCAGCATCTCAGCTCTGTGATTGTTTCCTGGCTATTGGGCACTACTGCAGCCAGGTACCTGGAGGGCTCGATGCCCAGTTCTTACCTTGACAAGTTTAGCATGACCCAAGCCAGGTGCTTTTCTACACAGGCTCTTGCTGAGTGCAGTGGCCACAGCAGTATCAAAGCAGGGTTGGATTCTGGCCTTCACTGATGCTTAATCTTCAGCATCACATACCGGTTGATGGGTACTCTTGCACCTCCACATCTGTCACCTGTCTTAGCACAGGAGGATGACCACAGGCACTTTGTGTGTCCGTCCTCTGCTCCCCAGCGCAGTTCAGAGGGCTCAGGAAAGGCTGGGAGAGCTGCTCTTAGCAGGAGGCTGGGAGCCGCCTCCAGGCGCCTGGGGAAGCCAAGAGGAACAGGCAGTAGGCGAAAGGGATCCATTTAGAAGCACGGGCTGTTCTTTAACCCCTCCAAGCAGCTGTATTGGGGCTCATGTTTTTTCCTCTCACTGCAGGGATCTCTGGAGGGAGATAAACTGGCTCCTGGTGGGCTTTGGCCAGCAGACCTGCCTGCCTGTGAATCCGCGCTGCACCGAGTGCCTCAATCAAGACATTTGCCCAGCTGCTAAGAGACACTGAGGGGTCATCTGGTCTTTGGAGAGCAACAAAGCTGCTTCAGCTCAGCAGCAGCCCGGAGCTGAGCCCTGGCAAAGCTGTGCGTTGCACGGGGCTGGCTGTGTGACTGCAGGGAAACAGGAGCCTGCTGCAGCCAGCTCAGCATCACTGGGGAGCGAGCAGCCACTGGCAAGGGCTGAGCTCTCAGAGGAAAAAGGGGCTTTCAGAGTGCAGCAGTCCTGCTGGGTCAATGCTAAAGGCTCCAGCCCGTGTGTGAATGCCTGAGCATGCCCCAGCTGCGCTGCAGCAGGAGGAGCTGTAGGGAAGAGCTTTGTCCTGGAGGACTTGCTGCTGCTGCTTGTAAATACACGTGTAATAAAGGTGGCGGGGTGTTTCTACCCATGAGGTTTGCTGGCATCTGTGCAAGGCAGGGCACAGGGAGGAGAGCACAGGGGATCTCACCAAAGTGTGAGACCAGAGCGACCAGCCCTGCCAGATGAGAGCAGGCAGCATGCACCATGCCCAGCCACCTCGGGGCACTGTGATGAATAAGGTACAACCAAAGCCTTGAGGAGCCAGGATCAGAGGAGAACATTACCTGGACAAGTGACCTGGGTCCTGGTGGAAGAGTAGGGGCACCAGGAGACAAATCAGCATCACTCTCACTCAGTTCAGCTTCAGTGTAACCCAGGAAGGGTTACAGTGGCCACAGGCTGGTGTGTGCCTCGGAAGCTGACAGGAGGGACAGCACCACCGTCGGTGTTTTGTTCTTCAAAGAAAGGGCAGCGCTGACTTCATTGTAGAGCTTCAAAGGAATAATCCCAGCTACTCTTTAAACAGGCGAGGGAGGAAGCAAAGTTTATAGTGTGCTAAAGGAGGCTGTAATTCCGCTCTCGAGTTCCCTACCAAACAGATGAGGAGCGAGCAAATAAGTACTTGGTACATGGGAAAACGAAGTTTATTACTGACATTACAGTGTACATTATGGTTTTGCAATGCAGCTGACAGCCTTATACTTTATTGATTTTTTTTTTCCAAGTTAAAGGTACAGGAACTGAATGATTATTACTGAGCTACAAGATGTCAGGAAGACGCTAAGTGCTTTAACCAGGAGCAGTTTCCATGGCATAAGCAGAGATTTAAGGTTTTAGAATCTTATCGGTACACATCTAGCACACCTGATTTCCTTTGATCTGCATTCAAAACTACACGTTCTCTTTCATCCCCCTCCTCAGCTACAGCGGTGCAGCCTGGTGTGAGAAACGGGCTATTTACAAACAGCTCTTTGCTCTCTGACGTGCATCAGAGTGAGACGTGGAGGCTGGTGGCATGGGGAACGTTCTGCCCTGCGCAGACCGGGGCACTGCTGGGGCTTTGGCTATGCAGGCACGGGAAGCAACGTGCACACCCTGGGAAAGGGCTCCTTCAACAGATTACTGACTTACAGAAGGAGGTATTTGGGAAGGGGGGCAAAAAGAGAGCAGGGAATTGTCTTGGAACACAAGGGAAGAGGTCTCTTAATGGCAGAGTCCTGGAGGGGAGGCAAACCTCTCTGCATCCTGAGCCACCATCCCGCTGCCAGTCTCACCCCATAGCCAAACACCTGCACCACTTCCTCTCCCAAGTCACTGTTTCCAACCTGTTCAGCCCATCCATGCTCCTATAAAAGATAACTTCCATAAAAAAGAACTCATCTCCTTCACCCCTGAGGCTCTCCTCACTCTCCTGTCAGCCAGCAAACAGCCAAGTGTCCCTGCCCTGCACCAACCCATTGCTGTGCTGAGCCTGACCAGCTGCCAAGGAGAGCAGTGAACGTTCTAAGGCACCTTTTAGCTCAATATGTGGGCAATGCACACAGAGCCATTACAATATCCATAAGACACCAATCAATCCAAAGGCCACGGGCTTGTAATGCAGGGCAAAATCACAGCCATGTGCTTTTCAATGGTCATCCATGTCCAAGGGATTGCTGCCACTTGCCTTTAGCTTGGGAAAGTGGTTTTGTACTCAACTGTCCCGCCATGCCCAGTCCCTTCCCACTGCTGCCATGGCATTTGAGATGAAATATGGGTCAGCAGAGCCTGGGGAGCTGCTGGGGCACAGGAGGGATGGGGCAGCCCCATCACGACTGGGCCACTGCTCTGGTAGAACACCTCTGCAACCTGTGAGAGAGGGTTATAGCTGAGCTTCATCATCCTCCTTCCCTTACAGCCAAAGGCAAGTAATAAAGAGCTTTAATGGGCTTAATTTGTAATGCTTTAACAATACGTTTTTGAGGTTCTATTACCAAGAGCAGGGTGTTTCCGAAGGAGGCCATAGACAGCCAAAGCAACTGCCCACTCCCTAACACCACTGCCTGCTTCATATCCAGCCCACAGAGACCTCAGGCTTCCGAGGACACCTTCCTATTGTCAAGACAGACGCAGTTATAGGATGGAGGCATCAAACACCAGCTCCAAATCTGGAGCCCAAATACCAGAAGTTGGGACCAGGACCCTGCTCCAGGACCCAGCATCAAGCCCACAGCTACAGCCCCATCCCCATGTTCCTCCCTGGAAACAGATGCTGGGTTGTGCTCATTAAGTCCAAAGAGGTTCTGCAGCATCTCATGGCTCTTGTCCTCTTGCAGTGCTGCTGGAGCCAGGCAGGCAGTACTGCTCCTCACATCACAGGGCAGAACTGGCCCCGCTCCCTGCCTTCCCCCAGCGCTCAGCACTGCACTGATGGTGTGAATGGTGAGCCCTGTGGTGTCTGGGGTTTGTGTTTAAATCCTGCCCTCCCCTCTGCAGAGCTGTCAGGGATGAAACAGGGCTTTTCTCACCCGGGCACATGTCACTGGTGGGGAGGGAGGTTCCTAAACTAACCAGAAACATATGGGACTTTGCTTAAAAAAAACAAGGAAACAACAAACCAACCTTTTTCATTTCCAGGGCAAAGCCAACAAGAGCCATTTACAGCCACTGTCCGTGTTCCCATCGTGTGAGCAGAGGATGGGGTGCTGGGGAGGGCTGCTGGGTATACCCCAGCCTGCAGGTCCCCACCACGATGGGGGTATGAGGCCGTACAACATCGCACAAGGGCACGGAGCATCCCATGGGGCTCAGCCTGGGACCCCCACAGACCAAACACACACCCCAAATACAACTAGAAAAAGGTAATAGAAGCCTAAATGATGCAGGTAATAAAGAGTTTAAACTCTTCCAGTCCTTTCTCATAGGAACAGGGGACGGCGGGCAGCCAGAGCAAGCAAGAAGAGGAGCTTTGGTCACATTTGTCTTATGAGAATCGCTGGTGAGTAACAACAATAATAATAACAACAATAATAATAATAATAATAATAAAAAATACAAAATAAAAGGACTTTAAAATACGCCTTGTAAAAGCAACCAGTGAAGAGCAGAGCACAAAGCATCTCACGTGGACACTGAAGGACAGGGCGTAGGCACCTCAGAACGTCCAGGCTGGGGCAGGATTGAGGTGGACGGTGGCCACCAGCAAGGCTCAGAAGTTGCTGAATATCTCCCTCTTCTTGTTCCAGTCCATCTGCGGGGCTCTCTTCTTCACACGCTTGGCCCTCACCTTCTCCTTGGCCTCGGCAGCCGTTGGGCTCAGGGACAAGCCGCTCTCCTCAAACGGGTCTTTCTTCTCTATGTCCCCATCCTGCATGGAGAAGGGAGCAAAGCTGTCAGCATCCCATCACCACCACCACCACCACCACCGCACGGCCGCGGTGTCCTGCAGCGTTTCACCCCACATGCCCCAGGAGAGGCGTTTCTGCAGCACAGACCACGAGCAAACACTCGGGGTGGGTTCTTTGGGAGGAGAAGGTCCAAGTCCCTCCTCCGTGCCGGGCCTGTGGTTTCAGTGGCGGCAGCAGCATCCGTGTGGCCACGGTGTTAATTATGACATTGCACCTCGTGGGTTGTTTTCTTTCCCCCACCTGAAGAACGTGTGGAAGTGGAAAAGTAGGAACAGAGAAGCTGCTGCCGGGGTGGAGGGAAGAGCTGCTCTGCCTGTCTGCTGGGATAATGCAGGAGGTGAAAATAGGGAAACATGGAATCATGGCATGGTTTGGGTTGGAAGGGACCTTAAAGCTCCTCCAGCTCCACCCCCTGCCACGGGCAGGGACCCCTTCCACCGGAGCAGCTTGCTCCAAGCCCCTGTGTCCAACCTGGCCTTGGACACTGCCAGGGATGGGGCAGCCACAGCTTCTCTGGGCACCCTGTGCCAGCGCCTCAGCACCCTCACAGGGAAGAGCTTCTGCCTAAGAGCTCCTCTCAGTCTCCCCTGCTGCCCGACCACACAGAGCTCCAATGTAATGATTGCACAAGCCCTGGGCAGGTTTTCCACCAGCGCTGCAAGGTAATGGCTCCGGCTTAACGAATGCAAAGTGAAGGGGGCGGTGGCTTCCATGAGCACACCAGGGTTAAGAGCCACAGGCAAAGCCCCCACCAGCCCCAGCACCTCTGGTTCCTAGTGCAGAGGGGACCCAGCCACCTCTGAAACACCCCACGGGAGGATGTGCTGCTCTCAGGCACCGGGACACAGCCCGGTTTCCCAACGGCACCGGATCAGGACGGGTGTTATTTAATGCTCAGGGACACACGGAGATGCCAGGCTGCAGGCGCTCGGCCATGCCTGGGCACAGCTGGCCTGCGAGGCTCCACCGGAGAAACAGCCCCAGTGCTGCAGTCCCCATACCCACGCTCCTCCCATCTCGAGCGGCTCTTTACGCACTGATAAACCCCCTGTGCTCCAAGCTAACAGCTCCTTGCCTTGCTTTCTATTTCCTTTCAGCCTGCCTTGCTCCTGGTAGCAGCACTTGCACCTCACAGCTCCATCCTCCTGCCCTGTGGCTCTCCAGTATAGCTACACTTAAGATTTAAACTCCCTCTGGACATCCTTTCACCTGGCCTTGGCCAACCACCTGAAGGGGTGCTGGATCCATCCCAGCAATGCAGACACCCCCATACTGGAACCAGTGCTGTGACAGCTCATGGCTCCGTTGCGTGCACATCTACAGTGCAAGGGATAAACGAAACCTGAGGTTTGTTGCTGGGTGGATGTAAAGGGACCCAAGTCTGTGAGATAAACCTGAAAAGGCATTGCAAGGCTCTGTTACACCATAAGGCAGGTACGTACAGTGGTACGTAAAAGGGAGGGGGAATATTTGGGGGTTTTACCTCTGATTCCTTCCCAGGACTCTGAAGGTCACTGTGAGATGAAGATGTGGATCCTCCATTCAGCTAATGGGAAACACAGCGTTAGTGCACTGTGCACAGGGACAGAAATAGGGATAAAATACAAAAACTAGGCAGAAAAATCACAGGATCATGAAGGGACCTTAAAGCTCCTCCAGCTCCAACCCCTGCCACGAGCAGGGACCCCTTCCACTGGG